ATTTTTTTTTTTTTTTTTTTTAAAGTGAGAGAGTGGTGTGGAGTGCTTGCTTTTCTGTTTACTTTCTGTTGATGGCCTGTTTGTTTATGGGTTGTACTTTAGTTCCTAATGCTATAGGTTTTGATTATTCCATATATTTGCTTTGGTTTTTTGGATCTATCTCTGTTTTGTAAAAATAAATAATTGCAAATATAACAAAAGAAATGAAATTGTAGCAGCCCAGGGGATATTATATAACGTGGCTGATCTGCTCTGGATTACCGTGATAAGAACTGAGACACACATGCCATAAATACAAAATACAGGCTTGAGATGCAGGCAAGAACTAGCTAAATGTCAAGCGTTTTGCAGACTTGCAGAAACTCTAGTGATTTGTGGTTTTCTTAGGATTTTTACGTGCTCGTTGAGGTGGCTTCTAGAGTATTGACCTAGAATAATTTTCTTCAGTACTATAGGTGATTTTTCTTCAATTGTTTTCCTCCAGATTTAGTAATCTCAGTTCATGGGAGTTTAAAAAAGTCTAAAAAATGGGAAGACACTTTGTAAGTAGTAAGCTGGAGGAGGAATTAATAATACCTAAGGCAGAACATGAAGCTGAATGGTGTTACACTAAACTAAATTTTTGTGTTAATCACACTGTACAGGAAACTGAACTTTACGGCCCTATTCACAAACAATAGACATGCTTATGGCATATTTAACACGGTAACCACAGTAAGGAAACTTAAGTTGTCATCAGAATCCTGACAATTGTTTTGCTAGCTGATTTTTTAATAGTGATTATAATTGCACATTAAAACATCTAAACCAAAAATATTCTTAAAATACATATTCTGTGAATTTGTCTTCTGTGTCCTTGCTTACGGGGAAAAAAAACAACTCTAAAACCTGTTTCCAGAAGGATGCATGGGAAGCAGTCTTAATTTTTTTAAATTTTGTTGTTCGATTTCAAGAACTTCGTAAAAATTCTTGTTACTAGGTTTGGATAATTCAGCCAGATGCTATATGGTTGGTGTTGGTTCAGATGCATACTGTAATCTCATTGGCAGTCATTCTGATTTTTATCACTCCGTCATATTTTCTGCCCTTGTCATCACTCTGAGCACGTTGCTGTGAAACGATGGTTTGGAGAAATGAGAATGGAATTCTCTTTGTGATCAGCTCAATACAAAATCTGTTGGACACATCATATCTGCATGATTTTCACGTGCAAAATCCTGTAATACTCTTTAGAGCTATAAAGCAGCATGGTATTTCATTCTCTGTTTTTATCATTAGTGTGTATAGTATGATCAGATTTACAGTTCTTAGTGTGCTAGGTAGCTGCGTTGTCTGGGAGGTTGTGCTGGAGACGGGGCTACACTGTCACTGGAAAGCAGTTTTCCCAATACAGTGAAGTTGTTTGGAATGAAACAAAGTGCAAGAACATTGAAGATAATGGACAGGAGCCTGAAATTCCTGAAGCCAAAAGGAGCCTTGGGCAGGACGTTGTGCTGTTTTGGAGTTAAAAGGATGTTTGATTTGAAGAAGAACTGTAAGAATTAGGGTGCTACTAGGAACTATTGCTATTCTTCGGAGTGCCTAGTACAGCCTTTATGGCCCCTGGGATACCCTTACACGAACACAAGACGCCACAGAGGTTTTGTGCTTTGGCCAATGGTGTCATCAGAATTTGTGTGAATAGCTGGTAACCTGCCTGAATGGCATTTTCACTTGGTTTCAAGGCACTTTAATTGAAAATCATTCACAGTCTTTTGTTGTACATGCACAGATTAAAGCCAAGAGAGCCCTGTGTGAGAGCTAAGAACAAAACTTGGCCCGTGTGTAAATCTCATATTTTCACTTTGGCTGGCATTAGCATTAAGTTTATTAAAATATGTATAATAGGTAGTGCAATAGCTAACAAACTGATTCAATAAAAGTTATAGCACACATTTTTGAAGTCAGAAAGTGTCGTAAAAAGAAATAATGCGTGCTAACTGTAAAACGGCATTATATATATTGCTAATTAGCCCCCAGACTTATTCTGGCTTTGTATTTATGTCTTATACCTTTCTTCTGGTCAAATAGCAGAGGATAATGTTCTGGCTGTGTGGTGTGAGCATACTGTATTTTGTGATTTGCATAAATTTGCAAACTGTAGCTAGTAAAGTTACCTGTTCTTTCCTAATATGGAAAACCTGAAGTTTATCCATAGCAAATTTGCAGAGCGGTCCTGAAAGTTTGTCTGTGCAGAGATAAATGTCATAATACCAATTTCTGGTGTATATGAGTATGGTGCTAGTATGTGAGAAATGGAAGAGCCCTTTTAAGAAATTATATTTGGTCATGGCACCTGTATTTCCCTACTTAATTGGTAATTTCATACGTGGCTTTCATTTGAAAATTTATGAGCAGAATTTATGGAATTTATGGAATAAGTGCTGTATCTAAATAGTGAAGCAGCCATGAAAACCCTTCCCTTAATTTTCAGTGTATCGACTCTGCAGCTTAAACTCTGTACTTTTCCCAGTGAAAGATGAGCAAGACTTGGATGCAGTAACAGTGACTGGAGTTTGATTATCCAGTGCTACATTAAGAATATCAAATGACACTTACCCAGTACTGTTGCAAAGGAGAGTTTTCCTAATTTTTTTTTTTTTAAATGCTCAAAAAATCTCAAGAAAGTGAACTCAAAATCATGTTATATGAAAAAGACAGACTATGTTAGTTACGATTTTCTTTTTCAGAGCTTTATGTGGTTGAATTTGTGGTTAAAGGTACGTGGCTTTGTAGAAACCTGCTTAAACACCTTTAGAATAATACCTCTGTTTAATCTCTAGCCTGAGTGCAGTAAGTGCTGGAATTGTATAAGGACTACATGGGCATTTTTTTTAAATTGGCTTCGGTATTCATAAGCATATGCTGTCCCAACATTCTGTAGTGCATTAATATACACCGTAGCACACACATGGTGCATTTATTTTGCTCTGTCGTTCTTTTACGTATGTGAGATTTCCTTCCTCTTCTCTTGTGTAAGTCTCCCTGTCGTATATTTAACACAGAAATATATGTGTTTGGGTGCAAGGAGATCAGAGAGTAAATCCAAACTTCCTTTATTTTAAATTAAAAGTAGTCTTAAGCCAGCAGGGCTAAATGTGAAATAGCCTTTTGATTTATCAGCTGATATGGGACAGCCAGTTTAAATCTGAGGCCCTATAGCCAGTAAGTTTTCTTCATTCAAACCCTGTGAAATTGCCTGAGAATTTTGCAACGACTGCAAACCAATGGTTGCATAATTGTGCATATCGGAGGCTGTATGCTATATCGTACCTGCAGTGCTGAAGTGGATCTCGTTTCAGCATTTAACAGCATATTATTTAGTCCGTTAAGCTGCCTGCTCTTTTCCTGCCTGTCTGGTAATTCCTTCCCCTTGGAAAACACGAGCTCTCCCTCCCTTTGAAACTCCCACACATGCTGCCCATGCTTCCACTGAGGCCATCCACCCTGTCTTGATTCCTCCCTGTTCCCACTGAAACTGTCCTCAATCATTTCCCCGACAAACCTCCCATCACCATTTCCCTCCCACTTCCACTGACGTCAGCCCTCCTGTGCGGAGATCCTTGCTCCCACTGAGAGGATCCTTCCCACGCTGAGACACACAAACTTGTCTCAGTCTTTATGGCTCCAGGCTTTCAGGCTGATGCTTTTTATGCTGTTGTTGCAAGGCATGAACGCTTTTCTCCGGGGGATAGGAGTCTAATTTTCAAATGGTATGGAGTGAACTGGTGTAGTAACCTGTGAGCTGGGTTCATATTTAAGTCTGTTTTTTGTCCTTACCTTTTAATTTCCTGTTGTTTGAAATGTAAACTGGAAAAAAGCAAACTGTAAATCACTCCCATCGTATAGATCGCTACACTACTCGGAGAGCATAAGCTGTGTTTTCCATTTTTAAAGCATTGTTATTGGTACCTCTCCTGGTCATGCAAACCAACTCATGCAAGACGTGTCATTGCATCTGAGGGAAATTCCTTGTGTGACTGAGATCAGCAAGGTTAGACCTGAATTTTTGGAGCACTTACTGTTGGTAAAAACTTCCCTGGACTCCTCTCAGCTGTAAATTCATCTGCCAGACACAAAACACTGACTTCGCCCTTTGCATTGTTCTTCTCTGCCCCTGTTCTGAATTTGCTTTGTGTCTCTTCCCTGGCCATTTTAGGTAGGTAATTTCCAAGCTTTTCCTTCTCTGCCACCTGAGTGTGTCAATAGAGGAAGTATTAAAAACAAGCCTTTATTTCTACACTTCTAGGCACTTATCTTACT